ATATAAGATTAATAAATATTATTTACATTATCAACTCATTGTCACGTCACCATTCTGTCAGTGACACTAACAAAATTTTAACCCAATGATCTTTTAGAACTATTTTCAAAAGGTTAGGGATGAAACTGTCACTTTTTCAACTTTAGAGACCAAATAGAAATATATCATCAAACTCAGGACCAAAAGTGTATTTTACTCTAAAAAAATAGATATAGGTAAAGTAATAAATAAATTATAATGTTCTATCCATTATAAAAATAATTTATTTATTTTAACTCATTATTTAATATAATGTTTTTTTTAATAATTTTATAATTTTAAATCACTTTGGAACCAAAACATCAATAATTTAAAATTACTTTAATGGAATGAAAATCAATTTTAAGTTGATCCAAACATTAAAATGATTATGTAATAACCACTTCTTCAATAATCCCTCTCAAACACACCATAAATGGATTATTTCAAAAATGATTTTTATTTGTTACCAAACATTCTAGATTTAAAAAAAAAAAAACATGTTTCGCCCTTCATAGATAGATGTTGCAATATTTATGTTAAACTTGAACAAGTGTTTCAAATTTTACCTTCTAAAAAAAATTTTATTTGAAAATTCGTTAAAAAATTATTTTCATCTGTGTTCAATAAATTAATAGAACATAGCTTTAGTATGAAATTGATAAGATTAGGGTGAAAAAAAACACTAGAACTTTTTTTTTTTGGGTGAAATTTGTTAGATTTGAGAGAGCTATTTAATGGTCATTTTTGTTCGTTAATGAAATATAATTTTGTGCAAAACCTAATTTCATTGAGATTAGTGAGTTTTTTTTTTCTTTGTGAAGATTTTTACATTATTTTTTTTGTTAAAATTAGTGAGTGAATAAGCAAAAATTGAAAGGAAGTAAAAATTAAACATGTTGATGTAGAAATTTGGCCCTATGGGATTCCGCCAAATTCGCACCAATCTTCTAGAATAAAGGGATGGACGAGACCTGCAAAACAGAATAACACTAAAGACCGGTGTGGTTCTTGCCACACAGGCTCCGATGCTTAAGTTAGAATCGGAGTAGTTGAGTATAAAGTGTAGAGTGTTGTGAGCATCTCAAATAGTAGGGATTTGTAGCAAACCTTTAGGGTTTGACTTACTTCCTATTTATAGAAGTTGAATCCTGATCCCTCTAGGGATTGTGGAATTCGAATCCTAATACATCTAGAAAATCTGATTATCTGAATCTAGGGAGAATCTTTGAGGCAATCAGAATATCTTCTTCTTTTGAATATAGGATACCTTCTTCTGAATCATAAAGTCATCAAGATACATCTTCCTTTTTGAAATCCTAGGGGGAATTCGAATAGTAGAAAATAGAGATTTTCTCATCCATAACAATAGCACCCACTCTCAAAGTTGAAGATTGTCAAAGTTCTACTTTAAGAGTATTTTGTCGTTCATGGCTTGACTATTTTTGTGGAATAGCCTCTTTTTGGTCGTCGTTGATTGTCGTCTTAATTATGCTGACTTTCCTAACCCTCATTTTCTTTTGTTGTAGTTGGCTGCAATCAAGTCTCTTAGTGTTGAGAGTATTTGTGAGAGTATTTGTCGTTAGCAGTTGTTGTTTTTACGGGCTGGCTTGTTATAGCCCTCAAACCCTTTTGTTGTAGTCGACTGTAGTCAAGTCTCTTTGTTTACTCTTGGATTTCCATCTTACTTGGCTTTTGCCAATGGTTTTATACCCTGAGTCCAGTCGATACCATTTTGTCGTAGTTGGCTGTAGTTAAGTCTCTTGGTTTACTCTTGAGTTTCCAACCTACTTGGCATTTGCCAATGGTTTTATACCCTGAGTCTAGTCGATACTCTTTTGTTGTTGTCGATTGTCATTTTATGGGCTGGCTGTCAGAGCCCTCATTCTCTTTTACTGTGGTTGGTTGCAATCAAATCTCTTCGGCACTACTATACGGTTAGTTTTAACTGTTAGATTTTGGCCTTGGGATCTAACTTTCAATAGGGCCGGTGGTACTTCCTTTGGGCTTCTAACCTCTTTGGTTTTTGCCCATGTTTTATACCTCAGGGTTTACTCTCGAGTTTCTAACTCATTTGGCTTTTGCCAATGGCTTTTACACCCTAAGTTTAGTCGGCACCCTTGGGTTTTTAACATATTTGGCTTCTGCCGATTTTTTACCCCAAGTTAAATCAACACCCTCGGGTTTCTAACCTATTTTGGGTTTTGCCACATGATTTTTTACCCGTGGGTTTCATTGATTCGTTAGGCTTGTTTACTTTCTGTTTTAACCTTGTTGGGCTTATATCATGCCTTTTTCAGCACCTTGGGATTCTTTTCCGTGGTTTCACTGATTGGCTTTTAGCTAATCTGCCTGCTTCTAGGTCTGTCCCTGTTCGAGTTCCTTGACCAGCTGTTAATTTACTTACCCATGCCCCCACTTGAGGGATTTTCATTTAGAGTAAAAGATAAACGCTCAAGTAGTAAAGATGTGTAATTATATTTTAGATATCAAAAGTCTTATTCATAATATATAAAGAGATAATTGCTCAAGTAATAAGTAATTAATTAAATTTCAGATGCTAGGAACGTTTTTAAATCACAAACGAGTAAGTATCTTTTGAAACATAATATCAATATGTAGTTACCAAAAAATCAGTCCTAAATAATGTGATCTACTAAATATGCGGTTACCATAAAATTAAACCTAAACTCTTGTAATCATAAACAACCATAATTACACAACTTACCATCGTCTGAAGTAGAAACTCCGTAGGTTAATCAGTTGCTTTTTCTTTTCTGGGATTTGTTGACTCGTTTATCCCAAAGTCTGTTTTGGAATCCATCAATTTATCTCATCCAGGATCTGTTTTGGGATTTGTTGATTCGTCCGTTCTAAGTCTTGTCTCAGAACTCATTGAATTTTTTTTTTCTCGGCTACCTTAGGTAGGGGAAGCCCCCAGTTGTATGACATTCGTCGTTAGAAAGTTGTGGTCTACCTCCAGAATACATGTCGATTCGTTTCTCCCAAGATCTCCTTAGATCTAAGTAGTTCTCAGTTAATTCGTCGTCAATCGTCCTGACTTTTAGATCTTAGTCGTTCCCACAGACGGTGCCAATTGTTGATGCAGAGCCACAAGGCTCCGATGCTTAAGTCAGAATCAGAGTAGTTGAGTATAAAGTGTAGAGTGTTGTGAGCATCTCAAATAGTAGGGATTTGTAGCATAGCTTTAGGGTTTGACTTACTTCCTATTTATAGAATTGAATCCTGAATCTATGGAGAATCTTGAGGCAATTAAGATATCTTCTCCTTTTGAATATCTTCTCCTGAATCATAAAGTCATCAAGATATATCTTCCCTTTTGAATTCCTAAGGGGAATTCGAATACTAGAAAATATGGATTTTCTCATCCATAACAAAATATATCTAAAAATGAAATAAAAATTGATACAACTTGCTAGATAAAACTTGGATGAAATTAAAAATTCAGGAAAAAAATTGATACAATATTAAACTCTTATTTCCTCCCCCAAAACTTAATGTATAATAGGATCAAATTAATGTTTAATCTAGCAAATTTGACCATTTTAATTTATAATGAAGTAAAAATAAAATTTGAAATCACACCTTTTATTTTAAAAGAGAACAAATAAAAATAATTAAAATATTATAGTTTCTCAATGCCGTGCAATTTTTTTTTTATTTCGCCGTTTTCTGCTCACGTTAATGGTTTAATTCATGCCAATTCGAACATAACTCAAGGGATAAGACACCAATTATTTATTATACTAAAAATTGGTTTAGTTCATATTTTATCTCTCCCTTTATTTAATGGAACGATTTTATGTTTGCTTGTTAAATTTTTGAATTACAATGAAAACTCTTTGTGAAATGAATTTGCTAAGAAGAACGAATGTTACAAATCTAATATTGATCAGTGACTAATGGTTAATAATCTTCAATTACTCAATTGAAGTTCTCAGATATAGCTTAGCTTTCAAAAACAACTAAAATTGTATCTCAAAAAACGAAAGTGAGCATAGTTTAGTGGTAATTGACATATATCTCCAATCACGTCGTATCTCAAAAAAAGTGAAGATATTAGTAACATTATTTAGTCAAAGTTCGAATTCTCATCCATTAATATATAGTACTATGCTTTCTTAAAAAAGAAAAAAAAAATCTAATTTTAGTAGCATGGGAAGTCTCTACTATCTTGCAGTCCTAACCTTAATTAGTATTCTTATATATTATTTCCTATTAGTTCAATTAATTTGAACCCAATAGAAAAATTGTTTCTTTAAATAGTTTGTTCCTTATGTGGTGATGAATGGAAGAGGGGGAGATCGAACTCACAACCTCATGGTTGTTGGTATATGCCAAGCTATGCTCGCTTTGGCTCTTTCAAGCCTCCCAAGATTGAATCAAATTAACAACATGGAGAACGATTATGGTGTTTTAAAATTGGGTAAGAAACCACACATTTTTATATACACATTTTTTTTAGTTCATCGGATAAAGATTTGAACCTCCAAAATAACACGTGTATTTATATTTTATAGACTATATATGATGAATCAAATAATTACATTTGAAAAACCACTTTTTGGTATAGGATTGTGATTCTGGACAAAAAGGCACTCCTATTGAAAGATCTATTAAATAATTTAATACATAATTTTAATTAAAAAAAGGGAAAAAGTTGCAACTACAATAATTGTGATGTTTGTTGCATATCCATAAATATGCCAACTTCCTAAACATTCACCTCTCTACTATTTTGAGACGTGATATCTAATATTCAGACCACCACTTTTCTCACCAACCTTGAAATATAATTCCATAACGTATAGATATCAAAACCGCTAAAAACAGTACATACTTCTTTTTCACTATTGTTTTACAATACATAATGCATGGGAGATGATATCCATAAAAAGAAAATGAATACTTCAAAGAATAAGGATTAAGAATGTCTATATGAAGTGCATTTTGAAGCTACATACAGAAATATAATATGGTTGCCATACACAAACAGAAGTGATATTTTATTACACTTGTACTTCTTTGTATTTAATTTATTACCAACAATATATTTCAACCAAATCACTCTTATTAAAGGATGCTATTTTCCTATAAAGAGAAGTATATATGACACACTCTTTATCCTCCCTTTATTTTCATTTAATTTTTTTTTTTTTTTTTTTTAAGTTTCAAAGATACCCCGACCTGAATGATGGCATCGATTTTCACTATTGAGCAAACATCCCGAGATGAATGGTAATCAAAAAATGAGGTTGAGTTTGGACTTCTTTCGAAATTGCTTCTTGGTAATGCACCAACGTTCAGGGAAGGTACTTAGCTGTGCGTAACAGACAATTCAAAACCATATAAAACAATGAGTTAAAATGCATTTTTAGCATGTACTATGATAATTGTAATATTTTGTTCCTTATAATTCTGTCTCGTAACAATTAAGTATTTGACATTAAAAATTCCCTTGTTGTCAAGTTCTATAAATGAGCAAATAGTGAACAGTTTTTGGTTCTTATTTCTCATTTCAAATTTTTGAGAAACATAAAAATTTGATAAATATTCTTCTTTATCGTTTCTTATTATTAAGAAAAGTTTTTGAAATTGTGTAAAAAATCTAAAAACAACAAAATCAAATTTCTTGTTTCATGTTTCCATTTTTTTTTCCAAAACGTACCTAAAAACATTTTTTTTACAGAGGCAGATAAAAATATTATTTTTTTTTTTTTACTTATAAAAATGCATAATAAATATAACATAGAAATTTTGAATACTTAATTTAAAAAATTATTTTTCATATAAAACTGGTACGTTTTTAAAATCAAAATTTTAAACAAGAAATAAGAAATTGTTAACATCACTTTTCTGTTTAATTTTTCAAATAACAGATAAAAAACGAGAAACACTGACCAAAAGCAATGCAACTATATTTTTCTTGATTGAAAAGGAGAAAGCAAAAAATAAAAAACAAAACATTACCAAATGGACCTTGGACCCTAAGTGAACCACTTTTGATTTGGACCATAAAAAGTTCATCATCTTCATTCATATGATGATTGTTTTGATATCAAAATTTTAATGTAATAGTTAATTTTGAAGCACGTGTAGCTGTGGATTAAAAAGCAAGACAGGAAAGGGCATTGTTTAGAAATGCTTTTTCTTTTTTTTTTCCTTTCTTTCTTGAGGACAAAGAAATGCTGTTTAAACAGTCTTCAGCTGAAAATTTTGGTATTTTTAAAGGTTGTTTTCTCCAGTTTTCTTCTAGGTTGTTTTAATGAATGTTCTACTTTTAGAATAATTGAAGTTGTTATAGAATAGTGATTTGAACTGTACAATGATCTTAAAATTTGAGAACCACATGAAATGTTGTTCTTAAAAGTAGCTTTGAAAATATTAGAGAGAAAAAAAAAACAAAAAAAAAAACAGAAAACAACCAAAAATGAGATGAATTAACTTACATTGCTAATAAGCCTTGCCCCAAACCAAGCTGTGTCTGCACCATATGGTGGAGGAATGACTCTGATTCCATTGGCCATGGATGAAGGAAGAAGCCCATAAACTTCCTTCTGCAACCTTTCTGACAACAATTGTAGCACATGTACGAGCATTAGATACCGAATGCTACGTTTTTCGTTCACATCCAAAGAAAACTACTCGCATCAGAAAACCACTCACATATAGTACCCACACATCAACATTTTGGGAGAGAAGGAACAAATTGAAAATCTTAAAATTATAGAGACCAAATCGATCAGATCGAAATCACGCATGAGCACAAGCACAGACACATTGTAGAAACTAAAATGGTAATTTAATCAGAAGAAACCTCAAGAAGTTAAAGAGGAGGAAAGTTCAAGTTGAGAACCTGCCAGTCCTGGAAGGCAAGAACTGCCACCTGATAAGACAACAGTCTTGAACCAAGAATCATCACATGTTAGTTCTGCAGCATGGCAATGGTCCATGCAAAGCACCACAGCCTCGTGCAGCCCCATTGCTCGCCTGACAATGACAAATGAAAAAAAACGTCATATTGACCATCCCATACCAATGGCTTCGAATCATCCCGGGCTTTTCTAGTAAAATGAGTTGTTTCTGGTTAGGTATAAATGCTTCAGTTATCAACGAAATGAAAACATTTTCCTTTTTCAGCAACCTTTTGGTCAAGTTGTGGATGAAATTCTTTTAAAATGCTCAGGATTAAACATTAACAGCAGAGAGAACTTTTGTATTTAACATAGAACATTTTCTAAAAGGCTGAGGTACGACTTACACTCCTGCCATACGTGGTCGGAATAAGATCTCTCCGGTTTGAAATCGCTCTTTGGAAAGAGTAAACCAACCTTCCCCAGCAGCTTCAAAGGATGCTTGAGTATCTTTAGATAATTCAGCTTCATAGTCCTCAGCAACATAACATAGATTCTGAGTTCAAAATTAACAAACATTAGACATTATCCTCATGCCTTCGTCTCTAATCTCTCTCTCCTACTTCTCTTCTATATAGAACAATCATGTGATGCAACCTAACGTCTGAATAAGGAAAAAAGGCATCTTTCTTAAACATAGAACAATTTTACCATTGGAATATATTTTCTTGGCTTAAATGCTATTTTAGTCCTAAATTTCTGTGTTTATTCTATTTTGATCCTTACCCGTTGTCCCTAGTTTTTCAATAAATTATTTAATAGAACCCGGTATCAGTAAATATTTTGTTAATTTATCAAATTAGGAACTAAAATAAAACAACTGAAATTTGAGAGACTTGAATAGAACATGAAAGTTAGGGCCAAAATAAGATTTAAACCAATTCTCTTTCACCGACAAGCCAAACTTTCATCAAGAGGCTACCAAAAAAAAAAAAAAAACAGGGAGGTAAATATCCTACAAAAGCAACCTGAACTGCAAAAACGTGGACTACCCAGTTGCGATAATAACAGTTAAAAAAATAATAATAATTACATCTACTGATGGAAAGCAGAGCAAAGAGAGATTATCTAAAACCATAAAGATTTGGCCCTCCTCATGCAATAGGAATCTAGAGAGTTTGGGATAACTTTTTGAAGTTTTTTTCGATGCACAATTTCATTGCCCATGCTGATTGTGATCTAAATCCAATCCCTCTGATTATAAAAAGGATTCGTTATATACGTGAATTGATACTTAGGGAGATCTTTTTTTTTCAATTAATTCTTAGGGAGGCTTCACCCACCCCAAACCAGTTTGGGCAGGCAACAAGAGTTTAAGTAAAACAACCTTTCAACTAGCATCTTCAGGATTTTTTCTAATTATGTGCTTACTCTAAAAGTACTTTTAAGTATTTCTAAAATTTTTATGACTCAACCCATTTATGTATAACTTTCAAAAAACACACAAGGATGGGAAAAAAAAAAAGAACGCTATTGCTTCCCTTGGCAATTACAAGAGAGGAGATGACATTATGTGGACATGTATAAGTGAAATGTGACGAGCAACAAAAGCATCGAGTCTGCTCAAGGACTCAAGCTAGATTAAAATATTTGAACTTCCAAAATGCTGCTTCGAGCTATTCTTAAAGCTAGAAAGAAAAAAGAGAAGATTAAATTCACATTACTATGGGCATGAAGTATTGTGCTAAACAGAGGTTCAAACGGGTAAAAACAACAAATGCGCTAGATTTCAGCTCCTGGGAGACAACTAGATTAAGTACAAGACAAACTTGCTTACGATATAAATCTTAGAAATGGAAGCTTTAATGTACCTCTTTCAATGCTCGAACAGTGTACATGGACTCAAATTGTATATTATTCTGCTGCATCAGCTCTCGGAGGTACCCCGTGAGCTTCAAAGCTCCCAGTCCCACAACTTCAACGCCCACTTTCCGCATTACTTTGCCATGTAAAACTACAAAAATTTGATAAAAGAATTAGAAAACTCAACATGAAAATTTGTTTCCATGGGAAAGGTGGAGTAGTTGCGTGATTTCTCAGGAAAAAAAAAATTCCTCAAACTAGTTTTCCTTTAGTTTTTTTACTCCTAGTCTAGCAAGCATTAGAAACAAGCTTAAAATGGTGGAAGGTGGAATAAGACACAAGCCAAAATATTGACTTTGCTAGTATTATAGTTAATTAAGATAGATGTAGGTAATCAGTGATTCTCACGTTTTAGAAAATTACTATATTGACAATTGTTATTAAAAAAATGCTATATTTGTGATTACTTTTATAAAAATAAATTTTCTAAACATTTAATTATGCTACCATTAAAATTTGAGCCCAGCATACCATGGTACAATCTTTAAGTGTAGAGTCTATGAAAAGATTATTAAAGATACTTCTGCTGATGGTCGGCAGTCTCCATAGCCATTGTGAAAGGAAGGGCAATTTTTGTTCCTCATATTTTCTTGATAACAAGACCACGGAAAAGAACCCAAGTACCCTGAGTTAGATTCCAACAGCCACCAATTCCTTCTTACAGTCCTAAATTTATTATAATTAATCTTTTAGGAAGGGGCTTTCTCATCCCCTGCCCTTACGTTGCTCTTCCTTTTTTTGATACATACATTCTGTTTCTTATCAAAAAGAAGAATAGTGCTAAAAAGGGGTGAATGACGTGACCATAATATTTGGTTGGCATGGACCAATAAACAGGAGGATATACAATGTTCTTTTCAGTTTTCTAACTAATTTGGGGACGTCATATTAGTGAGCAATTAAGATTTGCTTCGTCAGTACACTTTTGATTAGTACACATTAGCTTAAGAATTCGAGAACATAACAAATTATGTTAGCTTACTTGGGACGATTGAAGTCACCTGGAACCCAACATTAACAACAATTCCTGAAGTTTTTCTTGCAGCATACAAGGCTAGCGTTGCCTACACATGAAAAAATAGACAGTGGATGTAATTATATAAGATTCCCAATTTGGTACTTCTATTCATTTATTATGGTCCAGGAGTTCCATGCCATGATCAATGTTTTTTCACTCTCATAATCGACTGCTAAGGAAGTCCTTCCATCACTACTCATTGGAAACACATAATTTATTAGCTAAATGGTAAAGATCATCCATTTTTAATGAAATGGATGTAGAAGTGGCTAGTTTTGGAGTCTCTTTGTTTGATCCATTTTGGCTCGTTATGTATTGTATTAAGGATCCAAAGATGGTCAAGGAAAAAGGTCCATATTTGAAAGTGTTTCTCCTTGTAACTGTGAATTTCATTGACTAAAAGCACATATCGAAATAGCATAAGCTTGGATAGTATTCATTTCCGGAAGTAATAAGAGGCTTTTTTTGTTAGTAAATCAATGCTCAGAAAATTTATTCTTGAGGTTGACTACATAGTTTAGGAAATGCAACCCATATGCAAGTATTCTTCCTGATTCAAAAGGTTATTAGTTAAGAATATTCATTGTTTGCTTTAATAGTTGTAAGCTATAAGCAGATATAAAGTCAGCATTCTCCGAATCACACCATTTTTTTTTTTGTGAGAAACAATTTCATTGATGAATGAAATTACAAAAGTGGGCCCATGATAGGGGATTACATCAAACTATTCCAACACCAAATCACAACATCGATTTTATTTTATGTCTGACATTTTCCATGCCTCATCATATTAGAACATTAGTGTTTTTTAAAGCATTCTATTCAACATCAGCATGCATTGGTGATTAGATAGGATCTATTGAAACTCTTTTATGAGACGGACTGAGGGTACAAAGAAAAATACTTATAAATAGATATAATGATCTTTTTTATATTGACTTGTATTCATAACAGTCATATTAAAAGAGAGAAGAAAATCATATCTCTGAAGCATAAAATGACCTGATTAACGGCACAAACAGAAGGGACATTCATGTCGAATAACACTGAATGGATGGCTTCTTTGAGCTGCTGTCTTGATGCTTTAGCAGATTCAGTATCTGAAGCAGAAAAGAAGAATTGCATGTCATATTGACAAAGGTGACATGCAAATTTTTTTTCTAGTCAGTGGTTCTAATTCTGCCAAGAAGTTTTCTTTTTTTTTAATGAGAAACCAAATTTTCATTAAGATGAATGAGAAAGATAAGAACTTGGGCAAGACAAAAAGTAAGCTGAAAAAAAAAAAAGAAAAGGCCCAATAAAAAGACTATAAAACGAGATAAAATTAAAGTAAAAAGGCAACAATTATTAAGAATTAAAACAAAGTATTTACAAAATCTTGGTATTGACTCTGAGAAGGTAGGCATTGAAACAAGCCCACACCTCCATTCAAGAGTCCTTTTACCCCTAAACTTATCATAATTTCATTCAAGCCACATGTTAATTGTTACATAAATAATAAAATCAATCATTTAAGGTTTTAAAAATAGAAACTATTTCAATTTATGCGATGTATGAAAATTATCTATCATTTACTACTAATTATATGATTTGGATTGAAGCATAGAAACGGGGATTGTTTATGCAAGATTTGCACAACGATACTTTTTCCAAACCTAGCTCGAACCCGGTCTCCGATCCAACCTGAACACTAAAGTGAACCTGCACGAGAGAATAAACACTCCGACGCGCAAGTCAGTATAGGTTGGACTCTCTATTTAGTTCGAGGTGAGATTCGATACCGAAGCGTGAAATGGAGCCCTCTATTTATAGGTGGTGGATCCGACAGTACGCACGACCGGCGGTTACTTGTCTTTTCTCACATCGGACTTGTCGGGTTTCTCGGTAGGTCGGACCCCGAGCAGGTCGTTCCTCGGCTTTCATACTTAGCCTTTTCATCGATCGTAACTGGTCTCCTCGGGGGCTCGAGGTGGACCTGGTTCTCCGGTTTTCACTTAAGCACCAATGGCTGTTCTTCACATGTCCAGGGTATTTTTACACCCAAACATTGGCCCCCTCTCTGTCAGGTTCAATCTCGACCTGGTAGAGAAGTTCATTCGACTCCATTTTGGACGCGTGGCGATTTTTAACTCGTAGAGGGAATATGACCGTTGGGGAAGACATATCGATCGAAGCATTCAAGTTTTCCGTCGTTTCGGATTTCGAGATGATCTCAGCCGCTTGTTGATTACACGTGTACGGTGCAGAGATTTTTCCGATGAGCTATAAATAGCTCCGATCCTTCAGGTCATACCTTACGTTTCCTGAATTCTTGGAGTTCGATCTGAAAGCAGCTCGAACCTTCGGTAGGTCAGTCTCTTTCCCTTTTTCACTTTCTTTTTCAAGTGTAGTACCCATTTCTTCCTCCTTTAGCAGTGATAGCTTAGGATCTGATGAGAGCTTAGCTCGTAGGTTAGAGTTCGAACTCGAAGAGATAAAAAACTTTAGGTTTTCCGATGACGGGGAGGACAGCGATGCTTCCACCTCGGATCAGGGTTTGGAATACCCTTCTAGGATACCCGAGCATTACCTCGGACCCCTTCGTAGGGGGTTCGCTATCCCAGATAACATCTTCCTTAGGATTCCGGAGGAGGGAGAAAGAGCTGACAATCCTTCAGAGGGATGGGTCACTCTTTATCTCAAAATGTTTGAGTACGGCCTCAGACTTCCTCTGCATCCTTTCGTTCAAGAGTTCTTGAACCGAACTGGACTGGCTCCGACTCAAGTGGCCCCCAATGGATGGGGTGTCATTTTTGCCTTGGCCATCCTGTTTTGGTTACGAGCTCGGGACAACGAAGAGGCCGAGCTGTTGGATGTTGGGCAGCTCCTCGCATGCTTCGAAGCGAAGAGAATAGCCAAGAAGCCTGGTCGGTACTATATGTGCGCAAGGAAGGGCGCAGGAGGTATAGTGAAGGGGCCGACCTCCATCAAGGGATGGGTGAAGAAGTGGTTCTTTGCCTCTGGGAAATGGCTGGCAAAGGATGAGGCGGGTCGTCCCTTCTTTCATGTTCCCACTAGGTTTGGGAACCTAGGTACGAAGTAGATCTTGCTCCCCTTCTTTTTATAGTTTTAAGTTTTTCTTACTATCTTGATGCTTAGATCTAACTCGGATTCTATTTTGTGCAGTGTCGATCAGGCCAGTTCCCGAACTCACCCAAGCCTCCTTCGATACGCTGAAGTACTACAAGGAGCACTTTCCGAAGGACAGGAAGGTCGGAGCTTTGGTGACCGACAAGTTGTTGCTTGAATCTGGGCTGTTAGACTACAACCCACTAGTTCGTCCTGTCGAAGCGTCGAGGTCGAACTCCGAGCTAGGTAAGCTGCGCTTTTCTCTTTTATGTTATCTAACTTGTGCTTCTGATCACTAACCTTTTGTTTCTTATTTTGCAGCCATGGTGTGCGGATTTACAAGTGGCGTAAAGCGCAAATCTAAAAGCCGCGCCCATGCTCTCAAGGCTGTCCAGAGTTCGGAGCCTACAACTCCTGTTGTGGCAGGGCCAGCCTCCGAAGATCCAACTCCAGCCTCCGCAGATCCAACTCCGGTGATCGAGCTGGACTCGGTCGAGGAGCACTCCAAGGAGAAGCGCTCCAGAGGCGAGTCTGAGGCGTTGGATGTGTCTCCCCTCAACGAGGTGAGGGACGTATCTCCTCTGAAGAGGAGAAGGAAGAAGAAGAAGACCACCTCCTTCTCGGAGGTCGGAGCTCGTGGGACCTTGCCTGCGAGCTTCGCAGACCTGGTGGACGATCCTGAAGCAAGAATGGGCGGGACGTCCGATGTGCCGACGCAGTTCCAAATTGATCCGTCGAGCTCTGGGGTGAGGGACCAAGTGTCCCGCATCTCGGCCGCGAGCTTAAACCGCTGCCTCAGAAGGGCGTCCAAATTCGTAAGTGACCTAGGGTCCGTTCTTCAGAGGACCATCGACCATGCCGCCGAGGTAAGATCTGCTTCTCCTTGTGATGTATTTGATTTGTTTAACTGATAGTTCGGTCTAACTTTTATGCTCTTGGTGTTCGCAGGCGTTTGTTGCTTCTATTCACTCGGCTATTGCGATAAAGGCCGAGCTGGATGGAAGAGAAGCTCTGGCAGCAAGGGAGAAGGAAGACTTCTCTGCTGCCTTGGAAGCTGCTACCACCATGAAAGGTGAGCTGCTGAGGGCTCGCTCTGAGGTGGACATTTTGAAGGCCGAGGTGGAGGCCAAGGCCGAGCTGCTGAAAAAAGAGGATAAGAGGCGCAAGGCCCAGCTCCGAGCTGCCCATGCCATCACCAAGGGCCTGGAGAATGAGAAATTCCAACTTCTCAAGGAGAAGGATGACATGCTTCAGGTGCTGGAGTCGAAGGATGAGGAACTCAAGCGTCTGACTGCTGAGCTCGAGACGGCGAAGGAGCATCTCAGCAACGGAGTCTTGCTGGAGAAGTCCTTTAGGGAACACCCTGACTTTGACGGGTTTGCTAAGGACTTTTCCGATGCAGGCTTCAAATTTTTTATGAAGGGTATTGCTGCCGATATGTCTGATCTTCAGATCGACCTTAGTGGTCTGAAAAGGAAGTATGCTGAGAAGTGGGCTTCTGGGCCTAACTGCACTCCTGGCCCCCAGGCGCTAGTGGAGAAGTACGTCAGAGATCTGGACTCTGACTACTCCGATCTTGAAGAGGACCAGGTCGGCACTACCCAGGAGGATGTTCCTTCTCAAGCAAGTGGATCTCAGGAGGTCAACCTGCTTGGGTCGCAAGGCGAGCTCTCTTCCCACCTCGGAAGCAACTGAGGCTTCTTTATTTTTCTTCCATTTTTTTTTGTAAGTTCGAAGGCAGAGCTACAATGTATATAAGCCTTGGCTCTGTCTTCTTTGATCAATGAAATTCTACTCTTCTTTTTTACTTTGATGTAATCAGTTCTACCTCTTACCTCGATCTCTTTTGACATTGCGTCTTTTACTAACATAGCACCTTTAACTAAAGGTTTGAATTTGAGTCTTTATCTGGTCTTCAATGCATCGCACAAACTCTGGACTTTTGACATCGCACCTTCAACTTAAAACGTTCGAAGGTTTGAATTTTAAGTCCATAGCTACTCTTCACATCGCACCTCGTACCCTTAGGTTCAGAGGTTTGAATATTTTGAACTTTCCACATCGCCCCTTTAACTTAATCGTTCAAAGGTTTGAATTTTAAGTTTATTAGTGGTTTTGACATCGCACCTCATACCTATAGGTTTTGAGGATTGAATTTTAACCAACTATTACGTAATTAATTTTTAACCTTTCACATCGCACCTTTAATTCTTAACGTACAAAGGATTGAATTTTGGTTCATTGCCGGTTTTGACATCGCACCTCTTACCCGTAGTTTTTGAGGGTTGAATTTTAACCGATTACCGCAATTTGATCCTGTGGGAGTCCGTGGCCCCATTTAATTTCTGGTCGAACTCGGAATCATGAAATTAAATCACCTCGTCTATTCGGACCACCATCCTCTTGAAAAATTTTACAAGTCCATTTAGGACCATTTTGACATTTCAAGGGTAATAGCGCTTCAGGTGCTCCGCGTTCCATGAATGCGCAAAAACGTCTCCTTTCAGGTCGGCCAGTATGTACGTCCCAGGTCGGACTATTCCTTTAACTTCGAACGGCCCTTCCCAATTGGGGTCAAGGGTGCCCATATGACTTTGAATCCTCCTTAAGACCAGATGTCCGACTTGGAAGGTTCGAGGTCGAACTCGGGCGTTGTAGTGTCTGGCCATTCTGTTTTGATATTCTGTCAGGCGTAGCTGAGCCGTTTCTCTTTTTTCTTCCAGCAAGTCGAGGTTGAGAAGCAGCTCTGCCTCGTTTACTGTGGGCTCGTAGTGCTCCACTCTGTTGGATGGGAGGCCTATTTCAACTGGAACAACAGCTTCGGATCCGAAGGCGAGTGAGAACGGGGTCTCACCAGTTGACTCCCTCGGGGTGGTCCGATATGACCATAGAACCTCTAGTAGCTCCTCGGCCCACCTGCCTTTTCTGGAGTCCAATCTCAACTTGAGGCCTCATTTGATGATCTTGTTCACCGCCTCCACCTGCCCATTCGCTTTCGGATGTGCAAGGGATGAGCTGAGATGACTTATACC